AAACCGGGATAGATATATACTGCATCTTATAAAAATTGTTTCATTGTAATTTCACAGGAAAACAACAAAGGCTTTATTGAACTAGGAATAGTCAGCAATCTTCATAGTTTCTGACCGAGTATCTCTGCGTGATAGAATTTGTAATGAAGATATCCGCTGTATAACCAACGTACGACATAGCTCAAGACGTAACTCAATAGATCAGTGAGCTGAAGTAGCATTGAGTTGGTCATATAGCTCGAAGAACAAGAAAACGATGAGGAAGAAAGGTGTGGAGGTATGGAGTAGCTGCATAGAGGAGTAAGCGATGTGTAGGGTGGACCCCCAGTGACCATATTCGCCGAATGTCGTAGTTAACCGCGATTTGTAGTTAGTTACCTTCAGTTTAAAATAATTAATGTTTGGTCCAATCTACGAAAGAACTTGCAGTATATTTAAGTCTTGCTTATGCTTGCAGGTATGCTTTTGTTTAGATTTTTTTTATAAAATAAAGGATCCTAAACAGAAGCAGATGGCAAATGGTCCCCAGAAAGCTATTTTGATTTTGATTTCATGATAGTTGCCACGCTTGGCTTGGAGTTGAGAAACGCAGTTTTTTATTATTTAGTTGTTGAATATTCTTACAACGCCACTACAAGGTTTATTTTTTTGTAATAATGATGATGATGATGATGATGATGAATATACGTAAAATATTTTTGTTTCATGCATCGATAAAGCATTATGGTATTAAAGAAATACCAAATTTTTAACAGTAATCTAATTTCATACATCATTGATCTTAAGGAGAAAGTAGGTTTCAAAGTTTTTACGACCCATATAACTTCGATATAATATACGAGGCTTGGCCGCTTATTAAGTGGTCAAGTAAAATAAAACTGGGTAATCCCAGTTCGCCACAATGGTACCTATTTTAAGTATACATAATTCTGGATAAAGGCCTTTCCAACAATGTAAAAAATCCCGGACGAGCCCCCAAAGTTGTGGGGATATTTCAAGAATTTGAGATGAAACACTCACTTTTATACTGCTTCTTTTATTATCAGTTACAAAAACACATTACATCTTCTTATATATTGATTACAATGACACTAAACTAAATCTAGACTAAATCTAGTCCAGTTTAATCCTCAGAAGACACAAGTTTGCGCGTTTACCGCTAAAAAGAACCCCTTTGTCGTATCTCCTCAGTTTCAAGGCACTCCCCTTCTTGCCCCAGCTAGTATAGGAATCCTCGGAGTCGACATATCGAGTGACGTGCAGTTTCACTGACGTGCAGTGGTCACTTGGAAGAGAAGACCAATTTGGCCTCTAAAAAGCTTGGCGTGCTCAGCAGAGCGGGACAGTATTTCATGCCGGCACACCGCCTGCAACTTTACAAGGCGCAGGTTTGGCCTCACATGGAATACTGTTACCATCTCTGGGCTGGGACTCCCCAGTGCCAGCTCCTTCCACTTGACCGCATCCAGCGCAGAGCGGCTCGAATCGTCGACGACCGAGCCCTTTCCCATCGGCTCGATTCATTGGCACTGCGAAGAGATGTTGCATCCCTTTGCATTTTCTTTCGCATCTACCATGGGGAGTGCTCTGAGGAATTGTTCGGATTAATCCCAGCCGCTAAATTTCACGAACGCACATCGCGGCAGAACTCCCGATACCATCCACACCATCTGGATGATTGGCGGTCCACCACTGTGTGATTTAGAAGATGTTTTCTTCCTCGCACGACTTCCTTGTGGAATCGATTACCATCAGCGATTTTTCCGGACCGATACGACTTAGGGACTTTCAAGAAAAGAGCGTACTCCTTTTTAAAAGGCCGGCAACGCATCTGCGATTCCCTCCCTGGTGTTGCAGTTGTTCATGGGCGGCAGTAGTCACTTACCATCAGGTGAGCCGCATGCTCGTTTGCCCCCTCTCCTATAAAAAAAATAAAAGACATTTTTTTAAAACTGATATCATACATTTTTATTTTCAGTTCAATAAATCAAAGAGGTCAATATTCTATAACAAAAAATAAAAACAAACTACTCATTGCTAAATTATCCCACATGGCCGTCCTGATCATTCATCTGACCCAGATGAATCGTCTTCCGGGGAAATTCACGGATTCATGACATCAGCTGAGGTGGTTGAATTAATCTGGCTTTCGCTGATACAAATCTTCTTTACAACACAGCGATCGTTCGAATTGCATTTAACAACTTCATAGGGTCCCAAATACTTAGGATATAATTTACTCCCTTGTGAGAACTGTGTCTTTTTATGGCTACCAAATCTCCAATATTAAAGCTATTGCCGCTCTTCGCTTTTTATTATAGATTTTATGTTCTCTTCTTGTACTTTCTGTATAGATTCTTTGGCCTTCTTTCTGAGTTCTTCTCTTTTCTCGTTAAAATTCTATATGCTTTCTTCTTCTATTCATTTCTGAAGTTCGTCATCTTTGTCTCTCATTTTAGTGCTAAAAAGCAGTTCAAATGGTGTCATTCTTATACTTCTTTGGTATGTTCCATTCAAACATCGTTGTACTTTGGACACACGGCGATACCATTTAGTCGGGTCATCATTACTCAGTTTGCTCCACACGGCGATAACAATCTGATGGATGCGCTCAACTCGGCCGTTTCCTCTGAGTTGTCCGGTGGTAATTGTATAGTGTGTTATATTTTCTCTATTACAATACTCCTGGAAGTCTCTTGAAGTAAAAGCAGCGTTTCGATCAGTATTCTTTAAGGTGCTCCAAAGGTTTTTTGTTTTAGTCTTAGTTTCTCTAAAGTCTCTTCCGTGGTTAAAGTCTGAACAGGATAAATCCATGTAAATTTCGTATAAGCATCCACGACGGTAATGATGTATTTGTAACTCTTGTGAGTCGAAGTCATTGGTCCTAGATGATCCACATGGCATGTCGATAGTGGGACATTACCTTTGTCTATCGAGTGTAGGAATCCTAGGAGAACATGAGAATGCATTCAATACAATTACTTATGACTTTTTTTTCAGTTAATTTTTTAATTAAATATTCCCTATTAATCAGTTCTTAAGTTTTTAAGATTGTGTCCTGATTATCTCATACTGCATTTTCTTAGGCGCACCAATCAATTTACTTCCATCTTGTTCTTTATATAGTATTTCGTTCTGTGTCATATAATCCTCATATGTTTCTGTTTCTAAAATTTTATTAATCAGTCTCACATAGTCATCTTCATTCTGTGCTTTTCTTAAACGAGCTGTAGTTTCAGTAAGTATCATACAGATAGGGTAGCTGCTCAGTGTCTCATTCGTGTTCCAGGTCTGTGTTCGATCTTGTAGTTGTATTCTTCTAGAAGCAGGGCCCAACGGGCGACTTTAGGCATTTAGTCATTTTTTGTAGTTTCATAGTAAAAGCAGAGCAATCTGAAACAATTTAAAATTTCATCCAAAGAAGGTAAACTTCTTTATGGCAGCAACAATAGCTAAAATTTCTAAGTAATAACTATGGTATTTTCTTTCAACTGGAGTCGTTTTTTTACTGATATAGTGCACGGGGTGAAATTGATTGTCTTAAGGGCTTCTTTGTAGAAGAACAGCTTCATACCCGTCAGTACTTGCGTTGGTGTGTAATTCTGTCTCCAAATCTGGATTGAATATTCGGAGAACTGGTGAGTTACAGAATATTTGTTTCAATTCTATAAAAGATTTCTTACACCTTTCATCAAAATTGAATACATCATTTTTCTTTAACAAATCTGTCATCGGTTTTGCAATCAGAGAATAGTATTTTATAAACTTTCTGAAATACCCTGTCAGTCCAAGGAATGACTGCACAGCTTTTATATTGTTTGGCTTCTTGAAATTCGCTACAGCCTTAATCTTTTCTGTAGATGGTATTAATTCGTTGTCACAAATAATGTATCCGAGATATTGGATTTCCTTCTTTAGAAAATGGCATTTCTTCCAATTAAACTTCGAGACCGAATTCTTCGCTTCTTTTAAATACTTTCTCTAGCTTAAATCATCCTTAGATTAAATCATCAATGTGTCTCATCGGTAATTAGATAGCTGAAGATATCGTTAATACATCTTTGAAACACAAATGGCGCTGTACACAATCCAAAAGGCATTACTTTCAAATTCGTACTGGCCTTGTGGTGTTACGAATGAGGTGTACTTTTGACTATCTTTTTGTACTTTCACGTGTAAAAAGCCATTCTTCAGATCAAGGGACGTGAACATTTTAGCCTCCTTCAACTTGTCTATCTGGTCTTCTATTATAGGTAAGGGAAATCTTTCTTTAATTACCTTTTTATTTAATCGTCAATAATCTATACACATTTTACGTGACTCATCTTTTTTAGCAGCCAGAACTACAGGAAATCCGAAATCAGTTTTGCTAGTTTTGATTATTCCTTTGTCTAACCATTCTTTTACTTGCATATTCACGGCATTCATTTCTAAGGGTGACATACGTCGGGGATACTGAAAAACTGCTTCTTCATCGGTAAGTATTATTTTCAATTCAACGTTACTTTCTTTCTTCTTTTCATTAGGTTTGTACTCTTAACACATCTAACGAATCTTTTCCGCGTATTTAGAATCTCCTATATCATATTGTTGTTCATTGTCTTTTTTCTCCACTAGAAGTGTAAAACGCATAATCTTTTGTATAAAGACACCTTCAGAAATGAAACACACTTCGAAATCTTTAAGGATAGGATTTCCAATCACTAAAGTTGCCGATATCTCGTTGTCTTTCACAACATGTAACTTGAAATCTGTATAGTAATTGTCAATTTGAACATTGGCTGTAACATTCCTTCAGTAAGAATTTTTTTGGCTATTCCTGATATACATTCTTTTATACACGTTGATTCTGTTTTATAATCTTTAATTCCCTCTTTAACCTTCTCAAATTATGATTTTGTTATGAGGTTAATATCACTTCCAGTATCTATTAGGGCAACAAATTCTTTACCATTAATCTTTATCTTTTTGCAGAGTACTTTCTCTTCTTCAATTTTATTTTAAATTTTCAGCGTCTTCTTAGGTTTGCTTGTACATTTAGTTGATTTGTGACCAAATTCATTGCATTTAAAGCATTCGATTGCCTTTGGACAGGTGGGCGATTGATGATCCAATTCACCACAGTTGTAACATCTTTTTACATGAGTCATCTTACGGGTTGAATGAGGCCCATATGATTGGCCAGACTGTGCTGATTTGTTAGGCACCTTCGTTATAAAAGCACTGTAGATTTCCAACTTCCTGCGAAAATCCTTTATGTCTGTAGCACCATATAAAATAACTTTATTGGTCTCTAGGTTACGAATACCATCAATGACATACTCAATAAGCGCAGCGTCTTCAACCTTGCCATGAAGTGCTAATTCTTTCACAGACAGGAAATATTGTTGGTAAGTTTTATCATTCTTCATCTAACGCGATGCAAGTTTCTTGTGTATGATTGCGCTATTAATCTTGGGACCAAATTCTTCCATAAGTGACTTTTTCAAACTCGCGTAGTCCTTTACTCTTCCCATCGACCGTAAAAATAGCTTGTAATAGTCGTCAATAAATGTCTCAATAGGATAGCTGTCACCTCCGGTAAAAAAATTCATTGACTTCTCCACGTCTTTAAATGAAATCTGTATATCTGACTCCTGCTGCATCTTCATTTTCTTTTACATCTTTCTTCGGCGGCATTGTGGTTGACAAACTAGTATTACGTCTTTTTCTAGTCGTGCAAAATGATAACTTATTTGAACTCATTAAGTCTTCAGTCTTTAAAGTAAACTTATTTATTTATTTATTTATTCTTTATTGCATTCCTTAATCTAAGAGAATACAAAGGGCGGACTTAATGCCTTGTGGCATTCTCTACCAGTCAACCCATGGAGTGGTGAGAATTTGAAGTAGGTGTAGCAATATAGAATAAAAACTAAATAGAAATGATAATTAATTACGTTATATTATACATTTAACTAATAAATACAATAATTAAACTTTAAAATATATATCCTATTCATACATGTATACAATTATATAAATAATAATAATAAACCATTTATTCTCTCTTCAGAAATAGTACTTTTAGATTAAACATTTGCCATAATTAGTTATATGTACATACATAAGCATACATATATTCATATAAACATACATATACAAATAGCACATATAAATAACTATAAATATATACGTTTAAAAATATAAATGGCATGGATGATTCATGTAAGAAGCGTTGTCTTTAATAGATGATTACGCACCAACTTTTTAAAAGCAAACTTATTGGGAGCTTTTCTGAAATCGTCAGGCAAGGAGTTCCAAAGGCGTGTAGCCTGAACTGTGAAAAAGTTACCATAGAACTCGGTGAAGTGAACTGGAATACATATTTTGTTGTTAGAAGAAGAACCCTATCATGAGATGAGGAGAGAAAGTGAAATTTACTCTTAAGATAAGAAGGCGAAAATGGGTCATTTAATATGGAAAAAAGAACAAATAATATTCTGGAAATACGCCTCTGTCGGATTGTAAGCCAATTAAGCTTAGATCTATATTGCGAAATATGGTCAAACTTAAGAAGCCCGAAAATAAATCTTATACAGTTATTGAGAAAGCGTTCCAGCTTTTTCAGAAGATTTTGGGACAGATACGGGTAACACACGTCTGCATAATCAATTATGGGTAATATGAGCGATTGGACAAGCATGATCTTAGACTTTTTGGGCAGAAAATGTTTTAAACGATACAGAGAACGTAACGTGGCAGTGACTTTACGACTAACTTCAGTAACCTTAACCTGAGTTCTCCAATTCAGCGTGCTGTCAATGTGTAGGCCAACATTTTTTACAGACTTACTGAACGGTATTGTAATCCCATTGTAATAGATAGAGGGTATGGCTGCAAGATTAATCTTGGCTAGCATCCTTGAGCTACCCACCAGTAAAGCTTGGCATTTCGAAGGATGGACCAACACTCCATAACGAGTAGACCAATCCTTGATAGCTGATGAGTTGTTATTTAATTTTTTAATCCCATTATGGATATCCCCCATTTCAGCTTGCACGTATAGCTGAAAGTCATCGGCATACAGATGTTACGAGCAATCGAAGATGGAGGTAATAAGTTTATAAAAATAGAAAAAATTACGGGAGAAAGAATACCGCCTCGCGGCACACCAGCTTCCACATCGGCCCAAGCTGAGGTTATTAGCTCCACACAGACTGACTGCTGTAATATAAATCTTCATATCCAAATTCCAAATCGGCACTTTCTGTTGAATGACTTGTAATAAATCTTCGAATCTTTAGTCTTCATCTCGCCTCAAGTTTTTGGCCATCCCGGACGAGCCCCCAAAGTTGTGGAGATATTTCAAGAATTTTAGATGAAACACTCACTTTTATGCTGCTTCTTTTATTATCAGTCACAAAAAACACATTACATCTTCTCATATATTTATTACAATGACATTCTTTTAAAACTAACATCTTACAATTTTATTTTCATTCAATAAAGCATGGAGGTCAATTTTCTACAACAAACAATAAAACAAACTACTCATTGCTAAATATTCCACACCAGTTAACATTAATTTGATAATTACTCATATTTCGTACCCCAAAAACCTCTCAGAAATGAGGAGGCCTTTGCCCATGCATCGTATAAAGACGTATAAAGGCTGTAACTTTAACATTAACTTTTTTACCTATAGTCCCAATGCCGGGAAGGCGGGTTACTAAATACAAAGCCTTTATCCTAGCATTGTGAATGCTGCACCACATTACCAATTTCGTCCTGGACTAATAGTTGTTCGATCACATAGAATACCGGCGCAAAACAACAATGAAGCATTCTATCTTAGACATCAGTTGTTCGCTACAACAATGTCCGTCAATTAGCAGGGTGCACTGCTTGCAGGTAAGGATAACATTTGTAGAAAAAATTGGCATATTCCACCATAGACCACAATTGACGAGTATAATATATTCATTTGATTATAATTTGAGAAAAATCTATTATACCTGTATTTCTTTAAAGTTTACTCTCTACGATAGTCGTATTGCGTAAAGCTGCATGATATTCGTATCATGCAGCTTTACGCAATAATATTGATACATTTGGATGAGGAGTAGAACGTGTTAAATGAGGATAATCTTTCAAAACTTGTTACAATATATTAATGGGAGACTGAATAACAAAATTAGAAACTAGGACGAGGAGCTGAAAGAGAGTATGGCGTCAGATTTTAAAAGGGATTTGCATTACATATAAAAAGGGACTCTTTGTACAAGCTCTTTCATCTGAAAGCGACCCAATCGAAATTAAAGCTGGTGTAACCATATCAATTCGAAAAAAAACAACCCTTTGATGACGGCGTACAGTTCGCGTAAGTGAAAAAATGTCATCATCAAAAACATTTTCCTTGACAGTCTCAAGAATAATGCCAATGGCAAAGCATTATTTCTTTACAAGGTGTATTGAAGAAGTAATTGAATGAAATCGATTATTTTTTTCTTTTACCACTTACATTGTTTAGTAATGTACAATTTTTGTGAATAAATAAGTATATATGTTTATTTATTTATTTATTTACTCTTTATTGTACACCAAAAACAAAACAAAAACGAATACAATTAAATCTAAATTAGAAAATGTACAACAGGCGGTCTTATCACTCTGAAAGTGATTTCTTCCAGACAACCTTAGTGTAGAGAACTTATGTAAACAATAGTTAAAATAGAGGGGGGCGTACAAAATAAAAAAATATAAAAAACATACAAATAAAGGCAAGTGAAGATTGTATATATAATATAATAATATATGTATGATATAATATAATAGATTAAATGAAAAGAGCACGAAAAAGGAAAAGTGATTTATCTAATAGCGTTCTAAGTAATACGATTTAATAAGACATTTGAAAGAATGAAGAGATTGAGCACGACGAATGTGGAAAGGTAAAGAGTTCCACAAACGTACAGCAGTGACAGTAAAGGATTTTTTTAAAAAGGAGGAAGAGTGCGAAGGAGTAGAGAGAGAAAGATTGACGGAGGATCGAAGGAACCGATTATGGGTAAGGGAAAGATACTGGAAACGGTCTTTTAAATAATGAGGAGTGGAAGGATTAAACAACACGCTATACAAAGTGGAGAGTATGTGAGTATTCTTGCGATGGCGGATCGGGAGCCATTTGAGCTGTTTGCGAAATTCAGAGATATGATCATATTTGCGAAGCCCAAATATGAATCTAATACATAAATTTTGAATGCGCTCAAGCTTATTAAGCTGATCCTCGGTAATGTCAAGATAGCATATGTCAGCATAGTCAAGGATAAGTAGAAGTAGAGACTGGGCGAGCGTAACTTTAGTTACTGTGGGAAGAAAATTACGTAATCTACGTAAAGAGCTTAAAGCAAAAAACATTTTTCTACTAACCTCATTAATTTGTGAGGTCCAAGACATACAAGAGTCGAGATACAACCCCAGGTTTTTAACCTTGTTACTGTAAGGGATTGGAGTGCAGTCTAGTAAAATAGGAAGTAGGGAAGACCAGTCAATTTTTCCAATTAATCCTGAACTACCGATGATAATGGCCTGAGTTTTCTTGGGATTAATCGTTAAACCATAACGTTTACTCCAATTCGAAATACAAGTCAGATCAGCTTTAATAGTGTCAACTGATTTAGACAAATCTTCAAGAGACGATTGAGTATAGATTTGGAGATAATCAGCATACAAGTGGTAGGAAGAGGACAGATTATGACTTATAGAGTTAATGAAAATTGCAAACAGAAGAGGAGACAACACGCCACCTTGTGGTACGCCAGCCGTTGTAGTAGTCCAGGTGGAAAAAACATCTTGCACCTGAATGCGCTGTCGGCGACCAAACAAGTAACTTCGAACCAGTCAACTACAGTTGTAGATATGTTGAGAAAGCGCAGGATGCCCAACAAGATATTAAAATCTACTGTATTAAATGCATTACTAAAATCAAGTAACGTAAGTATGGTAAGCTTTTGTTTCTCCATACCAAACCGAATATCATCAGTGATTTGTAAAAGTGCAGTAGTCGTACTATGGCCAGGACGGAAACCGGATTGCAAAGGATTTAAAAGATTATCTTTTAAAAGATAGATGCTTAATTGATTGTGCACAAGACGTTCAAGAACTTTGGACAGGAAAGGCAAGATAGAGATAGGTCTATAATCAGAAAAACTAGACGGATTCGACTTTTTCGGAAGAGGAACTACAAATGCATCTTTCCAAGCTGAAGGGAAAATAGAAGAATTCAGTGAATTATTCAGGATGGAAGTGATTACAGGTGAAAGGAGATCAATGAGAGGGATGACCATTTTCCGACTAATGCAGTCACTACCAATTGAATTTGAATGGATGCACATTATGGTTTTCATAATATCACAACTGTTAAATTGAC